GATTTAGAGATTTACGGTGGAAATTTTTGTTTATAAATGATGGCCATGGGTTTTAAAACTATTATAAACTATTATTGGTTTCCGTGAAATAAGTGTATTCGTTCAATGCATTTAATTTTGTTGTACTCTGTGTTATGTATCGCAATTCCGTAAATATTGAACGTATTATACTCTTATATAAGTTAAGTATATGGTACATAATATATAACAATCGTATTCGCGGACGAGGAGGAAATATTGGTCGACAGACTCAGCATTCACAATTAGTCCAACCGTTTAGGAGGAGTTCAGTAACATACTGAAATGTATAACTTTGAAATTAAGAGTTAAATTATTAAGTTACGTACAAACATCACGGGGTCCGCGATCTACCGCAGGTAGATTGCCTACCTGTTAATATAGGTACTGCTGCGAATCAGAATTTTTATTCCGGGCAACGGAAAAGTTAAGATAAATTTTGAACACCAAACACTGAATATTAGATAACAAATTGAACAAAGTTTGAGTCATATTGATTTTGTACATTTAACGGGTAACGAAGTACACGGGATCAGCTAGTCTGTATATATTTACCACTTTAATTGTTATTAAACTGTTAAAGAGACAAAGATAAAATTTATGTTGAAGTTCAAACTCTCTCTAACTAGGTAGGTATACCTTAGTTATAACGTGAGCCATTATCGATTAAAAAACGTCTAAAATCAATATTAAATATTGATTTAGCATGCATAATAAATTATGGTTAATTTATTGAAACTGGGTATTGGTGATTTGTATAATATAGTATATTATGTTATAATGTTATGTATACAGGGTGTATCTTATGTCATTGTACGCGGGGTTTTTTGACGATTACGGAACTATAATATGGAATTTCGTTAAAACGAAAAAAGACGTGTTTCTTTATTTTTAATAAACAATTTTTTTATAACAATTTCAAAATTTTTAAACACGCAGGTGTACCAATAGCAAAATCAACTTTTTTTTTTCAAATGGTAACCACTATATTTTTAAATGGATTCTGGTAAAGCTTTTTTTTCTGAACATTTTGGTAGTCGAATCGTCAATTTTGGTTGGCTAGTTTATTAACTATGGTCCTCCAAAGATTAGTAAAATATGCATTAATATTTTTAATTAAAATAATGGGTATAGGTTTAATTTACAAGCGCTAAACAATTTTTTCTTATAACTACCATTTGATACACTACAATAGTTGAATCGGTAATCTAATGACACCCTCAAAAAAAAAAAAAAAAAAATTAACAAACATAATTGTTTGTAAACATACTTCATTATTTTTATTTTAACATACGATCATAAAAATCAATATTATTTTTTTAATTTATTATTATAATCGTAATTAATTACTTTACATTTTTTTCATCACAGTTACTTTTCTTACAATATCATAAATTTTAATTCTTAATTAGGTAGGTGGCTAAGGTAATAATGGTAAATTGGTAAATGGTATTCGATTGTTGACATTAATATGTGCAACGAAAAAAGTGCAATGTTTTGTGGTGCTCTTTTCGTAGTGGTATAAAGTATAAACTTGATATTTTAACCATAGATTCCCTAAATGGTATCGCATCCAAAGTACCTATGAACTTAGGAGTTGTAATTCATCCCTTTCCATCCTTTTTAGTTTTGGATATTAAAATAATAATATTGATTTTTATGATCGTATGTTAAAATAAAAATAATGAAGTATGTTTACAAACAATTATGTTTGTTATTTTTTTTTTGAGGGTGTCATTAGATTACCGATTCAACTATTGTAGTGTATCAAATGGTAGTTATAAGAAAAAATTGTTTAGCGCTTATAAATTAAACCTATACCCATTATTTTAATTAAAAGTATTAATGCATATTTTACTAATCTTTGGAGGACCATAGTTAATAAACTAGCCAACCAAAATTGACGATTCGACTACCAAAATGTTCAGAAAAAAAAGCTTTACCAGAAGCCATTAAAAAATATAGTGATTACCATTTGAAAAAAAAGTTGATTTTGCTATTGGTACACCTGCGTGTTTAAAAATTTTGAAATTGTTATAAAAAAATTGCTTGTTAAAAATAAAGAAACGCGTCTTTTTTCGTTTTAACGAAATTCCATATTATCGTTCCGTAATCGTCAAAAAACCCCGCGTACAATGACATAAGATACACCCTGTATATGTAAATGCTTGTGTGTGTAATATTATATCCGAAATATATTCTTTACTTGAATGATTATTTTTAACTTAACTTGAATTCTTTCTTTTGAGAGGATAACATAATTGAAACATACTCGTAGACAATGTGTTTATCATAAGTCTAAACGTAAATCTTTGCATTTCTACTTATTTTTTTGTATCTTCTACAAATTACAATATAGTATTGCTATAGATTAGCAAATAATGCAAATAAGTATGCCACAGGATGTGGTCAATTTCATTAAATTAGAATTTAAACCTTCAAGGTTTAGATATTCAGTTGCAATAGACTGAGGTTTTAAAATATAATTGAAGGACATTTATTTTGCAATGATTGTAATAACTGATAATCCTAACTTAAAAAAATGAATAATCATTTTATTATTTTACTATTTTTATTATATGATACTAATTATATGTAGGTACGTTTATAAGATTTTGATGGTATTAAGTTAAAATAATCCGTTATCAATATAGCATAATCCCGACAAAATACTTAAATATCCCAAGACCAAATTATCCCTGGCAAAATATCCCTACATCAAAATAGTCCATGACAAAATTGAAAATATTATCATAATAACAAAACAAAAAATATTATTTTGTATATTTTTAACTGAATAATATTTGTAATTATTTAAATTAGTTGCTGAGCCACAACATAGTATCTAAATAATTTCCATTTAAAAATTAATTTATATCATATTATTTCGTAGGTATAACAAATTATTTTTAAATTTTCCAAAAGAAATGTACAGTTCAAAAATCCGTGGATATTGTAAAGTAAATTAAATAAATTTGAAAAGAGTTATAAAAACTGTTATAACTCGTGTGACACACATACCATTATCAAAATAGGTATATAACGATTAAAACACTTCACACTTTATTTGAATAAAAAGGGTTATCGAACGATTGAGAACATTATACCTTTTTTGGGGCCAAACGATTGAGAACACTTAAAATTAACAAAGAACTTACCACTGACCCAAAAAATACCCAAAAAAGAATACGATTGAGAACGAATTTAAGTGCAACATTGCTGTATCATTTATTTGGCTATTGAAAGATTCATGCCCGTATGCATAAAATAAATATTCTTGAAATATTCTGAGTTATCAAAATATTCATACTAATCATAAATACTAATCATATAAATCATACTAATCCTTAAATATGGTTTTACAAATTTACAAATTATTTATATTGGTAGATCATCAGTAATACTAACATTTTCAGATCATCTAAGCCCCCAAATCTACTAAACCTAGGGCATAAAAATATAAATTATTCTTAGTACCTGGACTCTAACTATCGTAGCTAATTTAAATATTGTTTCTGATCGAGTTTCAATTAGAATTTCAATAACAACATAATATATTTCTGGATTATTTCAATAGGTACCAACCAATTATGGCGCTCAAATTATCATTCGATTAAATTTTGCAACGTTGGAAATAAAATAAAATTTCGAGCGTTCTCAATCGTGTTACCAAAAATGGGTTCTCAATCGTATGTTACCGATAAAAAGTATTATTGTGTTTGTAATCATAATTTTTATGATAGAGGTTAAATTAAAATTTACGCGGAATATCAATCTTGTCATCGAATATTTTTCCGCGGATATTTTTGCCGGGACTTTTTGACGTGTCACCGACTGTATTAACACAACGAAGTGCCTCTTAATGTCCACCTTTCAAGCATTTTCGGAACATCTGTAACACGTTTTTAATAATTTATCGAAGTATCTTGTTTTCTAGTTTAATACAAAATAATAAAACTTATTGATTTTTCCATTAAAGGTTTTATTATTATTTATATTAATAATTTAAAAAGAAACCTAAATATTCTAATCGGGTTTTCATTGTGAAAATGCGTTTTTGGCGTAGTCTTATTATGCGTCAATGAATTTAAAATTAGTGTAACCCAATTATTTGTATTTGTTGTCCGGTAATGAAATCAGAATACTTGGCATTTAATATTCGTATTATAAAAATATTCTATTCGTTTTTTTGACGTCTTAGGTTTTGTGTTAACAAACACGTGTGACATATTATAATTAACTTTATTATTTTCTTTATTATTAATTTGAGAAAAGTACTATAATGCTATAGTGTTTTTGTAATTCATTTATTCATATTTAGTATTATGGTGATTTATATTACGATAACAGTCAGTTTTAAGAATTATGGATCATAGTTATTTCAAATACAATGCTAGGTATTTAATATTGTGATTAATTATGATAAAAATAAATTAATATGTGATGCGTGAATTATTAAAACAGAATGTTCCATTATTTCAAATTTGACTGCATTCGAAAAAAGTTTACCCCAAAATTATCGAGGTCGGTGTAGCGAGTATACAGTTATGAATGATAATATTCTATGTACCAAAATCAAAGAGACTGACAATCGAAAATGGATGTGACAACGCTAGAAAGGTCACATTCCAATGGGCACACGACCAAGACGAAAGCGGAAAAAAAAGAATATGTCGTGAGGACAATATAAATCATTGTATCTAAGAAAACGACTTTGAGTAGTTCTAAGATAATCTAATCCCTATCAGCACATTAGCACTTGCTTATATTTTTCAACTTTTGGTTTCTAGTTGTTCATCTTAAATGTTTAGAGAACATTTTAAGAAATTTAAGAAATCACGCTTTTACAATAAATATTACATGAACATTTTGAGAATTTTCATTGTCCAAATAAATAAAGATGTCCATCAAAAAAATAAATTTTAAAATATAACACCTATACGTTATTTTGTTAATAATCTGTACATACATTAATTTTACAGGAGTTACACGGCTACCGGCGACACATGGGATACACAATTATGTCTTGGGTAGTGACAATCATAACATGTGGCGCTCTTCGTTTAATATTTTACTGGTGGCCAACATTAATGTTGTTTTCTACCCATATGAAATGTTCATTGCAATCTGCCGAAAAAATTTTAGTGGTGGTATGTTCATATGTTTTTTGTTAATGCATAGATACCTACATTTTTACAATATTTTATATTTTCACTGTAGGAAACATATAAAAAAGATCATAGAAGCAAACATGTAGCTGAAATAGAAATCATCAATTCCTCTTCTCTGTTGCCAAGGTACGTGGTTTATTTAGTTTTTATACTCCAGTGCGATCAAGGAGAGGATTCCTCGAGGACCAATAGGGCTCTCCTTATCGCTTGACGTAATAATAGTGGGCCTATTGTTTGTTGCCTATCCAGTTAGTGCAAGACGATTATACTGTTACCAATGTGTCTATCCGTATTGTGTTCAAACAGCGAAGCATGCCGCGTGAATGGCTGGGACAGACAGGCGTACTTTGAACTCAAATCACTTGGCGATTCAGCAAAACTGCCAGTGCGAACACCAAGTGGAATTTTCAAAGGTATATACAATAATTACATTTTTTAATTAATTATTTATTGTTTTAATAATAATTATTATCAATATTATTTTAGACCTGGACGAAATAAGACGATTCGACTTCAAGAAGTACAGATTCATTTGGGATGAGGACAACAAGGAGTTCTATTTGTTAACTGGAATTGACTGCGGTATAAATACCCATGAATTGCATGAACAAAGGGGAATATCTGCTCGAGATCAATACCTTCGTCGCGCTGTTTACGGGCCAAACCTCATTGATGTTCCATTGCAGACTATTTGGTCATTGATTTATACTGAAGTCCTTAATCCATTTTATGTATTTGAAATATTTTCATTTATACTTTGGTACCTTGACGATTATTTATCATATGCCTCAGCTATATTTGTTATGTCATTAGTCAGTATTATTACTGCTGTTATACAAACAAGGAGGAATCAAAGGAACCTTAGGAGTACTGTGCATTCCAGCGATGTTGCTAATGTACTACGAGAGAATAACGTAATTACAGTTCCTACAGAATTGTTAGTTCCAGGGGATGTTTTGGTTATCCCTAGTCATGGTTGTGTTATGCATTGCGACGCAGTCCTTCTCACAGGACATTGTATTGTTAATGAAAGTATGCTTACAGGTTAGTTAATGTTATGTTCAAATTAAAATGTTGGATAAACTTTACATAACAGACTAAAATATTAGATAACATGTAATTTTAGTACCAATTCAATTCCAAGTGTACATTGCTATATCTTACATTATTTAACATGTCATTTTTGATATAAAAAAAATGATTAATTGATGATGACAAAAGTAAATTTTATTGTATTTTAATAATTCAAATTAAATTAAATTAATTTTATTATAAATATTATTTGCTATATATTATAGATTTTAATGCCTAAAGGCTTTTTAAAAGTAAACATTTAATGGTTTGGATAGATTTGAGATTAAAACTAAACACTGGTGCTTAAATACTAAGATTATTACAAATTAATAATTATATTAGATCTTTACATGAATCTCAAGTAATTTACAATGTGCACATTTATATTATACACTTTAATTATGATTTTAAAATGTGATAATATACCCATACTTTCTACCAATAATGTCAGTTTTAGTGATAATAAATAATAAATAAATATTGCAATAATTATATTATATATTTTGTTTGTTAAACTATTATTTAGGAGTAGAATTTTATTTGAGTTATTGATGTTTCAACTATTAAATAAAAATACAAAATAAATTAAAATTATAATACTTTTTAATAGGTACTTAAAACTATAAATAAAACTTATACTTAAGCGTTTTAGTAAATTTAATATATATTACTGACTTCAGAAGTTTCAGATCCAAAATAAATAGATAAACAAATTATAAACTGTTAAAGATAAAAATAGTGAATAATAAATACTTTTTATGTTGTATTTTAAGGTGAAAGTGTTCCTGTAACCAAGACAACAATACCTGGAAATCCAGATCTAAATTATGACATAAAAGAACATGCTCGTCACACATTATACTGTGGAACATCTGTTATACAAACTCGTTATTATGGCGAGGGACGAGTGTGTGCTGTTGTGGTACGTACAGGCTTCCACACTAGTAAAGGTTCTTTGGTACGTTCAATATTGTATCCAGCACCAGTTGATTTTGAATTTGAGCGGGACAGTTATAAGTTCATCAAAGTACTAGCAAGTATTGCTGCTGTCGGATTTGTATACACTGTGTTTATCAAAGTGTCTCGGGGACATTCTCTCGATTCAATATTGAAGAAAGCTTTTGACCTGATCACAGTTGTAGTTCCTCCTGCATTGCCGGCTGCTATGACTGTGGGACAAATGTATGCACAAATGAGATTGAAAAATCATCATATATATTGTATTAGTCCAAGATCTATAAATGTGGCTGGGTCAATTAATTGTGTTTGTTTTGATAAAGTGAGTAAACGGTTAAGTTTTTAATTGCATTTCAAGTGTTTTATAACTGAAATATTTTTAACAGACTGGTACACTGACTGAAGATGGATTAGATATGTGGGGTATAGTACCTGTGACAACATCAAAATTTCTACCTTGCTATAGGAATGTGAGTTCAATGTCATCAGACCATTTGCTCATGTCAGCTATGGTTACATGCCATTCTATTACGTCTATCGATGGAAAGTTGTCCGGTGATCCTTTAGACTTGAAGATGTTTGAATCAACTGGATGGTTACTCGAAGAACCTGAGACTAGTGAAGACAACCAATTTGATTTGGTTATGCCAGTTGTTGTTCGACCACCGAATAAAAATACATTCACTACTATTGAACAGGTATAACTATTTTTCTGGCATTTATGCGTCTCATGTGAAATTTCTTTAGTGTAATATAATCTGTTTTGTAGATTGGACAAGAAATTGGTATCATTCGTCAATTTCCATTTAGTTCGAGTTTGCAATGCATGAGTGTTATAGCCAAACATCTGTCTTCTAATTTGACCCATGTCTATACCAAGGGGGCTCCAGAAAAAATTTTAAGCCTCTGTAATCCCAGTTCGATTCCACCAGATTTTGATCAAGTATTGCAACGATTCACTAAACAAGGATATCGGGTGATTGCTGCTGGTTACAGGGCGTTAAAGAACAATTTGAGCTACGTTAAGACACAAAGATTAACCAGAGAACAAGCAGAATGTGACCTTACACTTTTGGGACTGATTATATTAGAAAACAGATTAAAGCCAGAAAGTGCTGGTGTTTTGGACACATTACGGTCTGCAGGTATTAGAATTATTATGGTCACTGGAGATAATATGCTAACGGCCCTCAGTGTTGCAAGAGATTGTGGTATAGTGTTAGAAACAGAAGATGTTATTACTGTGCACGGCGTTACAGTGCCCCCTTATTTGTATTTCACAGCAGCTGATATGAATGTTAACCAGACAATTAATTCAAATTCGATCGTAAGTTCTAATTTTTAACTTAAACATATAATATAATTTATATGTTTATATAATATTTAATAATTATAATTAATTATTTTGTTGAAAAATTTATCATAGAAACTGAGCACTATTATGTCACCCAATTCTGGTAATAGTGTAAATTTGAATATGGATTTATTAGAAGCTGGATTATTAAGCCCTTCAAGTACTACTGCTAATACGCCAATTAAGTATGTTTTACACCTTAAACATAAACTATTTAACTGATTTAATAATAATATTTTTTTAATTCTTTTTATTAGATGTTCTCAGAGGTATACTTTTGCATTAACCGGAAAAACATGGTCATTGCTTAGACAATATTGCCCTGAACTCATACCAAAAATCATTACTAGAGCGTCCGTATTTTCACGAATGAGTCCTGATCAAAAACAACAACTTGTTCAAGAGTTGCAGGGAATTGGTTATTATGTTGGTGAGTAAATTTAGTACAGTGAATGTAAATTAACTCAATGTGTTTAAACCTTAGTAGGAAAATGTTATTTGAACACTAAAACATTTTGGGTGAGTTTTTATTTTCAATAACATTTTTTAATTTTATGCTGTTGTAGATTATCAATTTATTATACTAAAATCGGCTTCATTCAATTTTATTAAATTTCAATACATTTTATTTGAAGATAAAAATAAATTTAACATTCCAATTTGCTAATAATAATAGAGTATAACTACTTATAGAAGTATAGAAAATTATATATTATATTATTAAACAATTTAACGTATATCATATTTTCTATTTTTTTTTTCAATCTATATATTTAAAATTGTTAAGATTAATTTCAATAAAAATATTTTGTTAATAGTTTTTATTTGGATTTCTTAAATTTTATTTGACGCTTTTTAGATGTTTCAATTTAATTAACAACAGTATTTTAAATTACAGCTATGTGTGGTGATGGTGCCAATGACTGTGGAGCTTTGAAAGCAGCACACACTGGTATATCACTGAGTGAAGCAGAATCGTCTGTTGCCAGTCCATTCACATCACGCAAAGCATCTGTTGAATGTGTTGTGAGGGTAATTCGTGAAGGTCGTGCCGCTCTTGTTACTTCTGTTGGTATATTCAAATTTATGGCTGGATATTCTCTAGTACAATTTATATCGGTTATCATGCTCTACTCCATCGACAATAATTTATCAGATTACCAGTATTTGTACATTGATTTATTTCTCATATCACTCTTTGCATTTTCAATAAGTCGTACGCCTGCTTACGAAGGACCCTTAGTCAAACAGAGGCCAGAGACGTCACTCGTCTCTGCCTTGCCATTGACTTCACTTATTGGACAACTAGTAATTTCTATTGCAATTCAATTGATTAGCTTCATAGCCATTCGATATAATGATTGGTTTGTGCCATTTCAATATAAAGAAAATGAATCAATAGAAAGCTTTGAGAATTATGCAGTGTTTAGTGTATCGGCATTACAGTATATAATTTTAGCCCTAGTTTTCAACAAGGGACCACCATACAGACAGGGTTTACAATCAAACTGGTGTTTATCCATCATATCAGTAGTCATAGTAGCATTTACCGTTTATTTATTTATCTCACCATTTGAAATTTTAAGAGACAAATTCCAACTCAAATTACCTCCAGACAACTCCTCCTTCTTCTATGTAATTTTATTGCTAGCGTTAATAAATTTAGCACTGGCAGTATTTCATGAAAAAATACTTTGTGACCGCATGCTTGTCAAATTTTTGAGTTCTCGGTAAGATAATATTTAAACAAATGTTATGTACTTACAGTTATCAATTCTAATAATTTAAAATGTTTAGTTCTCATAAGAGTAAAAGTTGGACAACATCTTATGCTGGAATTGAGCATGAGCTTCAAAAAATGCCAGATTGGCCTCCGTTGAGTAACGATCGTTTTAGTTCATCCTCATCATCGCCATTTTCATATACATCACCCGAACAGTTGTCACCGACTGTCCGTTCAACGGTACAACCAAATGGTATTTCATAGACATATATATGTACATCAAACTTTTGAGTTTATTATTAGGGTTTTTTTTTAAATAGTATTATAATATTTCAGGAACAGCCAGTAACGGTGTGAATTTATCGTTGCACCGTCGCTTTCATTCAGAAAGTGAAGAATCCAATTATGCTACTCCTGCTGGTAGTTTACAACACATTTGACAAAATTGTTATTTTTTCGCACAGTATGTCTGTACTTAAAATAGTAGTTACCTGTAGATTTTTCTTTTTATTGCCCCAGTATAGTTTATTTTATATAGAATACGTATAAAAATTACAAATATATTTCACCGTCTTAATTTGTCTTGTGCGTCCCTTTAGTATACATATACATTATACATATATATTATATCTGATTAAAACAGAGGTCAATAATATTTGTTGACTTTTGTCATCTGCATAATAATTATTGATTATTATTTATTTCGTTCATATACAATAGTGTTAATGGTGTCTTAATGTTATTTACTATTATATTAATTTGTTTAACCAAAGGTTAAATATCAAATCTCCAGTATTTACATTTTTAAATGATAATAACATGATAATTTATTATTGTTTTTTTTTTAATGAAACTAACGACCTTTTAATAAAACTCTCGAGAAAAAATTATTTTTTATGTAAACAAAATACAATTAATTAGTTATAGGAATAATTGGATGTCATAAAAGCAATTTGTTTTTATCAGTGCAGTATTTGTTGGATTATTGAATTATATGTATTTGTAATTGTAATATTTTTTTTTTTTTATGTTAATAAATTATTTTAACATTAATTGAATGTCTTAAATGTTTTCTTATTTATTATCTAAAACTTGTGTGTTTTCTTGATTAGTGATTATCGTTTACATGGTTAAGAACTTAAGTTTGTTTTATCAAGAAAATAATTTGTACTAACATTTTGAGTTAAGTTGTACCCACATTTGCGCTGTCTGATATATTAATGAGTAACACATTGTACTATTTATTGCTAGTACTTCATAAGATTGAAATGGATGGAAAAGATTCAATAAACATATTTATATTTTACTCACTGCCGTAACTAGGCTACTTGAGGCCTGTGTGCAAAACCAAAATATTGAGGCTTCTTATTATATTTTTCAATACACACGTCAAAAACTTTTTTTAAAGTCAGCAGACTAAAATTCGGGCTTAAACAAAAAAAAATTTTAATTTAAAATGAGTTTGAAGTAAGATCTGTGACCAATGTTCTTCACAAAACAAATAAATACCCTCTTCCGCTCTTTTTCATTGATCTGGAACCTGTCCCCCATTCAAACGACATATTCAAGCTGTCGTCTCTGATACATACTAAAATTAAAGTTGAGGAACCTTTTAAGACGAAAACAATAAGTCAATGTCTGAATTGTCAGGAATATGGTCACACAAGATCGTACTGCGGCTATCCGTCACGTTGCGTTCGTTGCGGCGCCTTTCATCTCTCTTCTGACTGTCCAAATCCACCTGGTACTCCGCCGAAGTGCGCGCTCTGCCAAGGCTCTCATCCGGCCAGCTACAAGGGATGTTCAGTGTACAAAGACCTCCAACGTCACAAAAAACCCACAAAGATGGCAAGTGATTTCCGTAACAACAACAACAACAACACCTCAAGCAAGAAAGCCCAGCAGTCACCGCCTCCTAATCTCAACGTCAACACCAATCCTGAATATCAACAGCAACAACCAGGCTCCGAAAACACACCCAGGTCACGTACGTATGCAAATGTAACTGAGGGTCACCAGTCCGCAAACTCTAATACCTCCGCTAACATCTATGAAACCTCACTTCTAAAATTCATTGACGAGTTCAAATCAATAATAAACCCTCTTATATCTCTCCTCACCACCGTCCTCACAAATCTCATTAACACCAAAAATGTCAAATAATAACGTAACATCTCACTCTCTCCTCATTCTAAATTGGAACGCAAATGGTCTAGCAAAACACAAAGACGAACTCTTAGTTATACTACAAAACAACAGGATCGACATCGCACTCATATCTGAAACTCACTTCACCAATTCAACACACTTCTTCCTACCTGGGTTCCAAGTCTTCAAAACCAACCACCCTGATGGCACCGCACACGCGGGAGCCGCCATCATAGTGAAATCTTCCCTACTTTTCTATCCTCTCCCGCAATTCCAAACGGACCACATTCAAGCCAGTGGCATACAAATAACACTCAACAACACTCCCCTAAATATATTTGCAGTATATAGTCCACCGCGTCACACAATAACCTTAAACCAATTCAACGACTTCTTCCTTACTCTTGGTCATAAATTTATAATAGGAGGCGATCTAAATGCTAAAAATATACAATGGGGCTGTCGCGTAAACAATCCCCGTGGTAACCTTCTTGAACTCACAACACAAAATCGTAACTACAAAGTACACTCTCCCCCATCACCAACATACTGGCCCACTTCACCCAGAAAAAGGCCAGACATTTTGGACATATTTATATCTAAAATTCCCAACAGTCTCCACAGCCTAACAACTAATCTCAACGACCTCTATTCTGACCATTCAGCCATCCTCTTAACAATTGACACTGCCCCTCTTGCTAAACCAAAACAACCAAGCCTCATCCTAGGACAAATAGACTGGGAAAAATTCAAATCATCCCTTGATAATCAATGTAACCTCAAAATTAGCTTAAAATCTCCAAACGATATCGATGAAGCCGTACACCTCCTAACTCAGTCTATACAAGAAGCTGCTTGGTCCTCCTCCTCCCCAATGCCAACTACAAACACCTCCATAAATCTTCCCCTGCATATAAGAATACTAATCTCAGACAAACGGAGAGCGCGTGCAACCTGGCAGAGAACCAAATATCCCTCGGACAAACGCAAACTTAACAATTTAACAAATAAACTTAAAAGACTCCTAGCCTCTATTAGATCAGATAAATTCGCCAAACGTCTCATCTCCCTCTCATCTACCGACAACTCGCTTTGGCAAACAACAAGGAAAATCCTTCGAACAAAACAATCTGTCCCTCCACTAAAAAAAAACGATGGTTCTTGGGCCGTCACTGATCTAGATAAAGCCAATATATTTCAACATCATCTCTACTCTACCTTCCAACCTCACAACACTATTCTTACTCCTTCTCAAATCGAAAAAGTAAACCATTCTCTCTCCCACCCCTTACCCATGACTCTCCCACCTAAACATATTCGACCCAGCGACGTTGAATATGCGATAAAAAACTCCCCTCGTCACAAAAGCCCAGGCTATGACCTAATTACAGCTGAAGTAGCTTCACAACTTCCCAAAAAACCCTTACTTCTCTTAACACACATTTTCAACTCTATACTTAGACTGTCATACTTCCCTGTTCTTTGGAAATTCTCAATCATCATTATGATCCCCAAACCTGGCAAACCACCCGACTCTCCCGAATCATACAGGCCCATTAGTCTTCTTCCACTATTTTCAAAAATTTTTGAACGAATTATCCTAAAACGCATCCTTCCCATCATTGAAGCCAGCATACCTAATACCCAATTCGGATTTCGTCATAACCACTCTACAATACACCAAGTCCATCGTCTAGTGGATAAAATATCGTACACTCTTGAAAAAAAGCTTATTTGCACAGCTGCCTTTCTCGACGTATCACAGGCATTCGACAGAGTATGGCATGAAGGCCTACTCTTCAAACTCAAATCTATTCTTCCGCCATACTATTATCTATTATTCAAATCCTATTTAGAAAACAGACATTTTGCCGTTCGATCTGGCTTCTCCTTATCCGAAGTATCACCAATTCACGCAGGGGTACCTCAAGGATCCGTAACAGCACCTTTACTCTTCAATTTATTCACCTCAGATCAACCTACCACCCCCAACACTACAACTGGTGACTTTGCCGACGACAAGGCGCTTCTAGCGATTCATTCCGACCCCGAAATAGCCTCAAACCTCGTACAAAATCACCTCAATCTCTTATCAACCTGGTACAAAGACTGGGGAATAAAAATCAACGAAACAAAATCCATCCATTGTACGTTCACACTAAGGCAAATAGTCTGCCCTCCCATCTACCTCAACAACGTACCTCTACCAACCGCCCAAAATGTCCGATACCTAGGTCTACATTTAGACCGCCGGTTAACTTGGGCAACTCACACCCACAACAAAAGACTTGCCCTAAATAATCGCTCTCGCCAATTACGTTATCTCCTCACATCACAACACATAAACTTAAAAAACAAGCTGCTATTATACAAACTTCTTCTCAAACCGATCTGGACATACGGTATCCAACTCTGGGGTGCAGCCAAAAAGTCCAACTTAAACAAAATTCAAATCTTCCAATCAAAATGTCTCCGTCAAATAACCAAAGCTCCCTACTATGTATCTAACGACACTCTACATAAAGATCTAGCCATTCCAACAGTCCAAAACGTCGCAAAAACTTTCTACAAACGCACACACTCTAAGTTCCACAGCCATCGTAATCCCTTGATTTCAGAGCTATCTACCAACGCTATTCCTGGTGACCCCAGAAGGCGTCTAAAACGTACCTGGTGTCGTGACCTACTAATCTAAAATTGTTTATACCTCTACCTCCCTTCAATTTGTAATCCCACCCCCTCTTACTAGCAAGTTAAAATCCTAGCCTAAAATCCCAACCTTAAGTGCCTCCAATGGGCGGCCTCTTATCTCCAGCCACTCAAGCCACGACACCTCCATCACATGCGCTTATTGTAAAACAACATTTACAGATTGTGTATATTCAAATAAACGTTAAAAAAAAAAAAAAAAAAAAATTGTTCCAATATTATAAAATAAAATAACAACATTTTTATTAAATAATCAAAAAACCGTAAATAAAATATCTTTCTAATAACTAGAAATAAACAAAATAATATAATAATGTTATGTCACTTTTAAAACAAAATATTAATTAATTATTTGAAAATAAAGATTAAACTTTATAAAATGATTACTAAAAAAAATATCTTTATGAAAAACAAATTAATTTATTATAAATTAAGGTAATTACTTAATAAACTTAACACTTAACAGCACCTATTTATAGTATTCAGACATTAATTAGAATCATTTTCAGATTCAGATAGTATCACAGTTTCTTTCTTTTTGGAACATGATGGTATACTTTTATACCATTCGTGGAATTCTTCTGGTGTAGCTTGAGTTTTACATAGTTTCGTCAAATCATTTTTTTTAAGTGCTGATATTGGTAGGGGTTTGTCATACAAGTTTTTCAAATGATCAGGAAACTTTGTTGGTCTACCCCTTCCACTAATACGTATAATATTAAACTCCTTATCAGAATAATTATACTTGAACTGAATAACACCACTCATATTTTTTTTCGTATTTCAAAACTTTAATCTTCAACCAGTTTACTTTATTGCCTTTTATATCCAAGGAACGATTTTTCATTATCTGATTTGCCAAGCTTTTTAAATCCAAAAAATCTGTGTACTTCAGTTCTTGCACTGTGTAGGTTGAACATTTTTTTATTGTGTCTATTTGAACGAGCAAGACGACAAATAGTTAGCCAATCCTGCATAGTGTAAACTAGAACATTTTTTTTGGCCGATTCTATGGTGCTATGCATGCTGTCTACTTCCATGTAGGAATGTCCGCTTTCCATAATTGTGTGTTATAGTTTCGATCCTTGAATGAGTAACAGTATATAGAAATAAAGCTGCTACAAACTGGTTTCGATTTTGACCACTGCATGTATCGGAGTACAAGGATATTTCCGTTATATTTTCAGAGAGCTACTGAATCCATTTATATACAGCAGTACCAATTTCAGAGCTCCCCTTTTGTCCATTAAGTTCTGTCCACAAAAAACAAAAAGCACGGTTGGGGGGTGCAGCCTCGTACAATGTTAAATTATAGGTGCATATTTGTCTACTATAATACATACTGGACACATCAGAGATTGGGATCTGTAAAACACTTTGAAGATCAAAGGTTGCACTACAAAAATTATTGTTGTTAGAAGCTCTTTCCTTGTCCAATTGTTTAGCAGAAAAAGATTCATCTCGCCTGCGTATATGATTTTCATAGTTATTGATGATTTGTTCTTCTTGTGGTTTGCTCAACTTCTTATGTTTCACATTGTAAGCATTGATCTTTCTTGGGCTTATAAAAGTCTAAATTATAATTCTTACAAAAAATATTTCGATATACTGTTAAACAAATTAAATATTTACTGTCCAATTCTCTTGATTTACAATCTTCTAGATATAGCTCCATACATTTTAGCTAGGTATTGAAATTTGAAAGTGTAGGATCTAAATATTTCCGTTTAGTGGTTGCTCTACAATAATAAGACTCGATAGCTGAGAATTTTTCGATATGGGATTTTATTTCACAAATAACATCAGAGGTATTTTATTTTTTGATGGTGTTTTACCTCTTTTATCATTTTTTATAAATATTCCATTTCCAAGTCCTTCAAACGCTTTATCGACTGGGCCATGACTTATTGCCAAAGTTCTTAAAAAAAAAAATGTTTGCACACACGGACTTTCTCTGATGAGTTTAAGCTAAATGTATACATTTTAGAAAATTCTATTGCCTTTCTCACTTGTTCTGAAACATGACATTTAACTGGTACTTGGGTAACACACGATAAAATATAACCCTTTTGCCGATTATATTCCAAAGTCCAAAAGTATGAACAAAGTTTTATTCTGTAATCTTCATCAAAATTTAAAGAACATTTTTAATATAATAATAATAATGAACTTTATTGCAACAACAACAGTACATACATAATAAGAATAACAAAATAACACGAGTTACATATTGCAGCACCCCCTAAAAGCAAAGCTTGTGCTGGGGGAGCGAGTTCTTTTGACCTACCTAGGAATATACATAAATTTGAATAATATAATAATAAATCTGTTTTTCATACTATTACACTATAAACATTATAATAAACATTATACAATATTTTAAATAATAGTCTTATTAAGTATAATAATATTTTCTTTAACAAATCAACATGTCTAAGATAAGTTTTGAAAGACTTTAAATTTTCAAACTGATTAATATTAATATTTAATAATCGACATAAATTGAGACCAGTATACAATACACTTTTTTGTCCAAAGGCTTTTTGGCATTTCAATAAACGAATATTAACATTTTGCTTATATCTAGTATTGTGATCATGATCTGATACAGGTATTAAATGTTTATGCTTAACTAAATGAACTGATACAGCTTGATTATATACTACCTTAAAAATATTTACATTAAGTTTTTCATAAATTAAAATAGTATTTGTTTGCAGAGGAAGATTTAATAAATATTTAATAATACCATTTATTGTTACATTTAAGTTATGTACAATGCTGTTACAAGCTCCTCCCCAAATGGGTATACCATATGCAAAAATAGATTGTACTAAGGCTAAATAAATAATTCTTTTATAATTTACATCTAATATATATCTGGCTTCATGAAATATATAGAAAAATTTACGTAAAATACCATTTATGTAATTTTCATGACCACCCCATCTAAGTCTATGGTCTATTTTTAAGCCAAGATATTTTAACTCATTGACTTTTTCAAGTTTTACACATTTTGGATCACATTTATTTAAATTAGTATTACATTTTAGGGAATGTACAATCAAATTATGTCCATGAAAACATTATTAGCAGATAAATTAAAACATATAAATTTAGATTTTAGTAAATTTAACTTTAACTTATTTTTACAAAACCAAATATATACATCATTTAAAATATTATTTGCTTCATGATACAAATTGTCGATTGTTAGTTCGGATATTAGAATAGCCGTATCATCAGCAAAACTTATGAATTCTTTATTACTATCTATATTTATATTCAATAAGTCATTTATAAAAAAGATAAACAACAATGGGCATAACTTTAGCTTTACTATAACACTCATTTATTTGAACTATTTGAGTTCTTTCATTTAAGAACGATTTTAATAGATTATTAGCAACTCCCCGAATACCCGAATATTCTAGCTTTTTTAATAATAACTCATGATTTACACTATCAAAGGCTTTTTGCACGTCTAGAAAAATACCCATTACTTTGTAATTAATGTCAATATGTCTACGAACAAAGTTATCAAGTTTAAAAAGAGCATCACTTGTTGACAAACCAGCCAAAAAACCAAACTGTGAATTAGAGAAAAATGAATTCTTTTTAAAGTAATTTAATAAACGGTTTTTGATACATTTCTCAAAAATTTTTGAAATAGTTAAAGAAAGTGAGATAGGTCTATAATTTCCACATGATAATTTATCACCTGATTTAAATAGTGGAATAACAATACATTTTTTAAAAGCTAAAGGGAAAACACCTTTTAATAAAGCATTATTAAAAATTAACAATAACGGTTAAGAAATAGATTTAGAAATTTTCTTAAGGATATAGTTTGTTAGACCATGTTCATAATATGAATTAAAATTTTTAATCTTATCAATATACTCACTAATCTCTTCACTAGGTACTAATTGGATTAAGAAAAATACGGTTATTGCTCTGATTTTTATCGTTAAAGTAAATATCAGCAGAATTTATATGTTCTATTTCTAAATTATTTCCTACATTTACAAAAAAGTCATTAAACTCATTACAAATTTCAGTTTTAGATTCAACCATAATACCAACGTAATTTGTAATTTTATTAATATTATTCATTTGTTTGCTCGGTTTACCCATAATTTCATTTATAACTTTCCAGATTTGTTTGTTGTAAGTTTTATATTGCTTTAATTTATTTTGATAGTACATTTGTTTTGATTTTCTTATCAAAAGATTTAACATATTTCTATATAATTTATAGAAATTTTTAAATTTTAAATCAAAAGGCCTATGTCTCATCTTAGAAAAAAGTTTTTCTCTTCTAATAGAAGTAATAATGCCAGGTGTAATCCATGCTTTTATATTTAGCTTTTTTTTGGTATAATCTTATTAATAGGGGTAGATGAATATTTAATAAATTCTACCATTTTGCAATTAAAAGTATCAATCATAGAGTCAACGTTTGAGGAATTAATACAAGAAAGCCAGTCTTCAGTTTTAATTAATAAATCTAAATGATTTATATTAATTTTACTCATCTTTGAATTATTAGATAATGCATTAGGTTTATTGTGATTGTTAAAAATTGGAAATACTATAGGTGTTGAATAATGATCCGTAATATCACACCTTAATATGTACGGAGTAATTTTAGTCGTATCAATATTATTAACGAATCAATACAAGTTTGAGAAAAGCTAGTTACTCTAGTATAATTATTGATACATGACAAAAACCCATTAAAAGCCATAATATTTAGATATTCATTACTTATTTTTGAACTTTTCATAATATCAATATTAATATCTCCACAGATAATGTTATGTACCTTTTTTTTTATACAAACTAGAAAAGAATAATTCTAAATTATTGATACAGTTATCAATATTATCATTAGGAGATCTATAAATACAAAATAGATGGAATAAATCATTATTTATTTTAAGAGTAATGTGTAATGAATTGCAATTTTTTAATACTTGTGTATTAACTGTTATTATGTTTAAAGATTCTCTTACTAATACAGTTACGCCATCACATTTATTTAATGTTCCTAACGAATTAATAGTTTTATAACCATTTAATTTAAATTCAAAATCATTCAGAAGCCAGGTTTCCCATAGTACAATAACACTAAAAAGATTATTTACTGAGCCTAATAAGGTTACAACATCATTAAAATGTGCCTTAATACTACTTATATTAATTTGAAAAACGGAGAAACTATCATTAGACAAAGGTATATCTACTAAAGAGTCAACATAAATAGAATTTAAAATATTATCTACAAATAGCGTATTATTATTATTCATTGAAAATTATTTTATTAATTTAAAGATATTTTAACATTATAAATATTAACTAATCAAAGCTTATCAACGTCTTCAGATGATCTGATTTTTATAATATTTGAATTTTCATTTTTCCTCGCCAGAATATCGGAATTAGATATCCATATAAATTTATATTGCTTACTTTTAGCCGCTAACCTGGTTTGAGAAAAAAGCATCCTTTTGAATTTAGTTAGCCGCTCATTAATGAACAACTTATGCTTTGCCCATTTACTATTTACCATATCCGCAGTTACCTTCAACGATTTAACATTACGTATTAAATTTTTCCGCATTTCAAGTGTAGTTAGTTTAGCTACTATTATATTTTGTTTTGACATAGCAGAATGAATTCTATAGGCTTCGATAATATTTAGTTCCGTATTTGTTTTTTTACCAATTTCTGCAATAATGGAAACACAATCTTCATTTTGAGTTTTAGGTATGCCTGTTAATTCTACTGTTATACCGAGATTGTGCTGTTCAATTGAATCAATTTTGTGTTTTAATATAGTAACTTCTTCGGATAAACATTTATTTGCATTAATAATTTTCTCATTTAAATTTACAATTTGCACAATCTACTATTTTGGGTGTCTTGGATAACTTTTTTTCTTTTGCACTAATAGCTTTTTTCCATTTCAGTTTATTACCTTTTCTCCACCTACATAATTCCAAATCACTTTCCGGTAAAGTATTTTCTTCAAAAACTATTGCATTATTATTTTCAA